TGCAGAGTGGGGAGAAGAAGCTGAACTGCAGCTGCTCAGCCACATACCAAACAGGGAACATAGGGGAGATTCCAGACCACCCTGGTTCCATGCCCCCCACAAGGAGACTCATTTCCCATGAAAACCTGCAAGTTGTGGAGAAAGCAGGCCACCAAACAACATTATAAGGCAGCACTGCAGAATTTTAAATCAGCATGTGCTCTAATATAGACAAGCAACATATCAACAAAATAACATTAACTGGGAAAAGTTAAGTGAGAAGTTACTGTACAAATAGCAGTGTGATTGTGGTGACATAGGCTGCACCTAGGGCTAGGCATTCAAATACACTCCTGCCTGGCCCCCACAGTATGTACTGGGGCAGCTAGCCCAAGCTACAGTCTGTGATACCATGGCCACACCTCTAGTTTTAGGCATTAGCTCAAACTGAACTAACAAGTTTATGTTCAGCTCTGCTACAAATCACAACTCTCAGCTGCTGTGTGCACACATGCTAATGCAGGGGTGGGCAAGACAGCCTCTGTGGGCTGGATCTGGCCCGACAAGCCAGTGGATCCAGCCCATGGCCTTCCGGCCACTCCCCCACCCCCAGGCCAATTGAGACCTGGGGACAGGTGTGCACACGAAGACTCCTACTCTTCCAGGTGTACGCTGCACGATAGGGAACCGCTGGCTGTTTTAAAACAGCCAGCGGTTCTCTCTAGCCACTGCGGGTCCCTGGCAAGGTAGGGGCAGAGGGCGAGGGACTTTGCGCACTCTCCCCACCCCAAGGCCCTGATTGGACTGGGAAGAGGGGGAATGCACAAAGTCTCTTCCCGCTGCAGTGCCTACAGGGAACCAAGCAGCTGTTTTAAAACAGCTGGCGATTCTCATTGGGTTGGGGAACAAAGTCTTCATGTGCTCTCCCACCCCCAAGCCTATCAGGGTCTGTGGGCGGGGAAGCACGAGATGTCTCCTGGACCTGCCCTTTCCGCCCAAGACCGCACCCTTTCCGAAGCAGCCCCTTCAGAAATTAATGAAGTGGCCTCCTCTTAAAAATTATTGCCCACCCCTGCCCTAATGTATATATGGGGAGGAGGGAGGATTACTGCCTGTTCCCATGCACAGTTTACTTTAGATAAGCAATTTGTAAAAGCCCTGGCTCAGCACATCTTTCCATGATTAATTGCCTCAGCTAAAAAGTGAAATTATGAGGACCAATGAAAGGATGTGAAATTCCCTTACCACAAAGTCAGTCAAAAGCACCAGCAAGCTAAGTTATAAAAGCTCAGAAATGCGTAAATGACTTAAGTTTATTTTAGGTTTTAACTCTGCAAGGCCACTTATTTCTGGTTTGGTATACTACATTTTTCTCTGTGAAATGGACATCTTAATGTCATGTTTCACTCCAGAGTAAATATTAAGGATGAATTACTTTGAAAGTGCTGACATCAATATAAGAGTAGCAATGCTAAGAGAACCAATACAATGACAAACAACTTAGGCAGGACACTAAAGCATTAGAAGTTTGAACAATGATTCAGTTTACATGCCTTACTTTCCCACTGCTTCTTGCCTGCTGCTTTTGATTATGGCTTAGTCAAAAATATGTACAGTGGTAGCAAGTGCTGTACAGCAAACAGATGAGGATCAATTTGTAAACCTTTATTTTTTCCTAGGCTAGAGTTCTCAATGAGGAACTCGACGGGTGGGATAGCTTTCTTTAATGTAACTAATACGTTACAATAGGGGATGAAGTTCCAGGACTTAGAATGTAGGCATTCTTGGTGGCAGCCCTAGGGTTTGGAATTCACTAATAGTGAAGGGGTTTCAGGTCAGAATTTGGTTGGGGGAGGGAGGGGCGGTGCACACCATGATTTGGGGCGGAGGAAGACAGTGAGAGAATGGTGAGAACAGACTGAGGAGAGCAACTTTAGCAGTGTTACTGAGCATGCTCAGTACAAGCCAAGCAGTAAATTGGGGGTGGGGACCAATTCCTTTCACCCTCCCCCTGACATCACCTCCTTCTAGGGCTAAGGTACTGGAAAACTTGAGCTTTTTAGGAGGTAAGTTAGATACAGTACTCTTGTCAGATATTTGCTAATTCCTATAGTAAAAAAAAGGAATGAAATAAATATTAGACCCACTCAGCTCTAATATTAACATATTCTGACATCTTGTGGCAAGTCACTTAAGGGACACTGGCTAGCCTTAAAATATTTATATGCTTGTTACTAACTTCGTGGGCAATGGGAGAGAGAGAGAGACAGACTGTCAGGACTCTGGCTCTCAGTTCTATAAGTGGAATGGGGTCTAGTGGGCTATAGCAGGTGGCAGATACATCTGGGCTCTATATAAGATCAGAATGGTCATGTTGGGTCAGACCAATGGTCCATCTAGCCCAGTATCCTGTCTTCGAACAGTGGCCAATGCCAGGTGTTTCAGAAAACATGAACAGATGGATCAAATGAGACATCCCATTGCCTATTCCCAGTTTCTGGCAAACAGACACCATGCCTGCCCATTCGGGCTAGTAGCCATTGATGAATCTATCTTCTTTGGCCTTATTTTGTTTTTATTGGAACCCTGTTATAGTTTAGACATTTCCACCATCTCCTGGCAAAGAGTTCCACAGGCTGACTGTGAAGAAACAATTTGTTTTGTTGGTTTTAACTCCGGTGCCTGTACATTTAATTGGGTGAGCTTCTTGTGTTAATTTTAGTGAAGGAATAAATAACGCTTCCTTAATCTTTTTTTCTACATCATTCATGATTTTCTAGACATCTAACATATTCCCCATCCTTTAGTCATTTCTTTTCCAAATTGAGAAGTCCTAGTCTTGTTAATCTCTCTTCATATGGAAGCTGTTCTTTACCCCTAATCATTTCTGTTGCCCCTTCTGTACCTTTTCCAAATCCAATACATCTTTTTTTAGTTGGGGTAACTAGATCTGCATGCAGTACTCAAGATGTGAGCATACCATGACTTTATGTAGAGGCAATATGTATTTTTTTTATTATCTATTCCTTTCACAATGATTCCCAATATTCTGTTAGCTTTTTAATTCTTAGACTGCCACTGCACACTGAGCAGATGTTTTCAGGCAACTATCCACAATGATCCCCAGATCTCTTTTTTGAGTGATAACAGCTATTTAGACCCCATCATTTTTGTATGTATAGTTGGGATTCGATTTTTCTATGTGCATTACTCTGAATTTATCAACACTAAATTCCATCTGCCCTTGTGCTTCCCAATCACTCAGTTTTGTGAGATCCATTTGTAACTCTTCGCAGTCAGCTTTGGATTTAACTATTTTGAGTAATTTTTTAGTGTCAGCAAATTTTGCCACCTCTCTGACTGTCCCTTTTTCAAAAACAGTTATAAATTTAACCGTACTGGTCCAAATGCAAATCCCAGCAGCACAACACTCATTCCTACTTTTTTCCTCCTGTCTTTTAAGTGGAGTACCTGGCAATGTTTTCATGATAATCTAAGGATCCTTCAATTATGTTAATGACCAAGCTTTTGTTATTCTTCATCATCTGCCTCCCTTTTTTATAACAAACTCCCTGTCCCAAAGGCAAAGCTGGAAGCAGCTCAAACTCTGTTGCATTTAAGAACTGCCTTTGGAGCCAGGGCATGTAGCTTTAAGCAAATCTCAAGTATGAAATCCAGGGTTTAAAACTTTGGGGGAGGGTACTGTCCTCTAGGTCCCCTAAATGGTGCCCTCTCCCAGTTGGATTCTGTCACTTTGACAGCAAGATGCAAAATGGACCATTTTGTTTGGATGATTTTCCAACCATTTAAAAATGTTGCAATAACCACTGGTGATTAGGCTCTTGGCTCTAGTCCTTTCAGTAAACATAGAATGGTAATTACAAGGGGTTGTGGACTATAGTATGCTTTTTGTTTAAATTATGCAAAAGTACTACTAATGGGTGTCTTATAATGCATGAGAGAAATAAATCCATTGTGTACCCCCCTTTGTAGGAAAGTATCAAAAATCAAGACTGTGCACTTTGTCATTGCACTGTGACCAACAATCTGACTGTGTTAGCAAAAGCATTCCTATGATCTAGTGTAACCCATTTACATAGCTATGATATTTGGCTTATATTTTTGTATTAAATAACATTAGCAGACATCACTTCATTATATTTGGTTGTAACACAAGAAATCCACAGGCCTGTATCCTGTCTGATTAGGTAAAGCAAATTACCATGAGTGTTTGAAATCTTTGATGTAGATAAATGCCCTAGATTTTAGGGAATTGAATGTGTTTATCAAAGATTTTTGGGACCTGTTGGCAACCACAAGGTACATCACAAGAAAACAGAAGTAATGGTCAAAGCCAAAGGTACCAGGCTTCAAGAATGAGATAATTTGTTTGAATAGGTATGATTGTGCTATTAATAACCATGAATATGCTAGTCTCTACCATAACCGTACCTAAGATTATGTGGGTGAGGAAATTAGGTGTGGGCATGGAAGGCTGGGCACTGACATCAATATTCAAGATAGCTTTCCGACTAGGTGAGCTCCCTTTTGTTCATCTTTAGCGTAGCTTTTTCAATATAACACCTACTCAACATCTGACCCTTTTCTCCACCCTCTTGAACACTGAGGAAAATGAAGCATTGGGCTCATTTGGTATGCCAGACACTAGTCTTCTGTCTGCTATCACCAGGTCCACTAAGAAAGAATGTGTGTGCGCTAGTTGAAGGAGCTTTTGGAAGGAATGATACCACATATATCCCCAGAACTCTATTATTTAGTTTTGATTCTGTGGTTTTGAACTTTGAAAATTTGTTAATGTTAAGAAAAATCTCCGAAGCTCAGCTATGTCCCCAGCATTAGTGTTCTATCCCCACACACTGAGGCTCTTCACAAAATACATTTAATTCTGCACAGCCTGATTTCAGAACAATCTAATTACCTTATGGTCAGAACATAGGCGGGCGTATAATATTATACAGCCCACTAATAATCAGGTTAGCAGTATCCATATACATTCTTACCCCTTTTCAACACTCGCATGGACTGCAGAAACAATCCCTTCTAGGATCTGAAGTGGGTCATTTATTGAAGTAAATTCGGTGCTGTTGTCACTGTTAAAAGAATCAGATGAAATCAGATTATACAAAAACAAATATTTTAGAATAAATGATTCTGGACACATCATCTAATTTAGTTTGTACACCTGAAGTTCATTTATGAATACTGAGTAAATGTGACAACTTTTACAGTTTCCTACTTGATTAGTACCTTATGCAATGGGAGTAGTAAAAATGGAAATAAACAACAGGATAAAATAACTCAAATGCACTTAAAGGAAAAAATCTGAAGAGTGAAAATGCCCTGGAACATGTGGTATTCTTCAGAATGCCCATCTGAAACCCAACCTATGTGAAAAACTACAGAAATGCATTGGCAATATCTGCAGTGTAACATAATTCAGTGTGGGCATCTTCCTACAACTGGTTATTAATAGGCTAATGGCCATTCACAAATTGAGTCAACATGGATTCTCAAAGAGAAAATGTCTGCCTAGGATTAAATACAACAATTATGAATCATGTACCCGAGTCAGAGAATTTCCATTTGGGGGAGACACACCTCTCCTCATGACAAGAGATTATAAGAATCAGAGTGGCTGTTAGCTACTTATCTAAATATAAAAGTTGAAGTGCTGTTTAAATATTTGCCTTATGAAATGGAATTTCAAATCTTTTCATATGAAGTCTAGGCAAACGCGAAAAACGACTAAAAACTTAAAAGGAAACTGAATTACACTAGCACTTAGGAAAGCTTCAGAAAGTCTGTTCTTGTCTACTTATTTTTTATAGATATAAAAAATGTCCTACATGATTAGGTTATTGAATACCTGTTCTAACCTGTTAGTTTATTTGTCCCTATTATACTTTAACATAGGATTGTTTCAGATAGCATTATGTTAAAGACCTCCAGTGAATCCAGTGTGCAACAGCAAGAGCTACACAGACCAGTTATATGGCAACACATTAGTGTGCTTTAGAAATCATAGACATAGCCCACATTATGGCTCTGGAAAGACAATCCGACAATCCCTAGACGCAGTGACATTTACCTACCTAAACTAACTGTGCTCTGAAAGAGGCTAAATCAACATGAATCAAGTAACCATCTCTAGTGTTTACTGGATAAATACCAATTTCATTTTTCTCACACTGGGGCATTTTACCAGCATGTGAACTAAAAACCTAAATTCAGAAGCCATAAAGGTACATAATTCTGCATGGAAATAATAATAATAGATCCTGAAAGGTACACATGCAGAATTTTCTTTTATGCTCTCAAACACGAGGGGGTGCAAAATACACATCTCATATCACATTTACAACTCCTTACATCGCAAACACACCTTTACCAAGCAGGCCCAGCTATTGCTTCTATCAGTTCTTTCAGGCATGTAAGCAAATCTCATTGGCTACTGTCTACTCCCGGGGAAGAGACGAAAGATGGTATGGGCAACCAGTTGTATTTTCATTTTTATCCTATAACAGTGTTTAATAGAATCCTTTGGGTCAGAGTGAATGGCTTGTAAAAGGATTTGATAATTCCCCCAAACCAAAATGCACCCATAAATCAGACTGCAGCAACCAACAGTCATTCAGTCTAAAACTTTATTCTTTAGTGGAGGCTTGTAATTTACTTATTCTTAGTTATGTTAATTGATGTGTTAGGTCATAGCCATCAAATTCAACCATATCAGTGATTCATCCAGTCATGAGTACCTCTCAGATCAATATAGTAGAATGCAGCACAAGGAAACCATTTTTTGTACACAGTATAACTTGGGAAACTCTCAGTCACATTACCTAAATTTGGATTATTAATGCTACCTTGCAACTCCAGGAGAGCACATCACTTTTCAAAGCAATACAAGTAGCTATGTATATTTTAGCGCCCTTTAAAGAAGAGTTTAACTTTATAGCATGTAAAACCTTCCAGTCATTTTTGTATTGGTAAATATACATCATAATTACATTTTCTTAAATACCATTCTCAATTTGGGTCTCCCAAATATTTAGTGGGTGCCATGCACTACCTTGGGTAAAAATTAAAAGATTGAGACCATTTTGACCAATAGTTTGATCTTTAGCTCTGTGCAAAAAAGCAAAAAACAAATCTATGTAGACACTTTTTGAAAAGTAGATACTTTGGGGCTTATATCTCTCGCAACCCCTAGCTGAAATAACACAATCTGGGTCACTGGCCCTACTCCGTATCATCCTAAGGCACTAAGCATGTTGATATTACAAGACATTTAAACAGAAGTTGGGACAGAATGTTTAACTGTAGTGGCACTATCATGTCATCATAAAGAGGAAGCAAATAAAATTAAAATAAAGGACAGGTTTGTAGTAGTTGGGACAACATGCCAATATATTCTTTTCACTGAAAAGCCAAGAGCCAAGCTCTTTCTCCAACTGTGAAAGAGTAGATGGAACACAGCTTTCTTGCATTATGGAACATAAGTTTACTAAGGTCTATTCATTTTAGTTTCTTACATTGCACTTAGCACCATGGTGTTTGGGAAACTTCATCAGAATATCGATATACTATCCAATATCTGAAAATACAGATTCTTTACAGAAAATATTAGCACGCATCCATCACTATTAGGAACATTATATTGTAATACCATTACTGTTTAAATGACATAACAGTAAGTTATTTTGCTAAACGGTCTCATTTCATACGGAAATTATTATTAGATTTTTTTTAGTTGCAGACGTGTCCATATAGCAAGATAAAAGTAAATGCAAAAGAAAAGTGGAAGAGGAGAAGGAGTATAATCAGGTCATTATAGATTAGCTATTATATAGCTCAAAAGTTCCAAATCAAACAATAGATTCTAAGGCAAAATTAGATGAGGGGCAGGATGTTATGGCCTAATAGAGTATTTCAGGAAGGGTGTTTCATACATAAGATGCTACACAAACAGAACAGAAGAATAGTCCCTGACTGAAGAGCTACAAACTAATCTGAGTATCAGAGGGGTAGCCTTGTTAGTCTGAATCTGCAAAAGTAACGAGGAGTCCTATGGCACCTTATAGACTAACCGAAGTGTTGGAGCATAAGCTTTAGTGGGCGAAGACTCACTTCGTCATGCATCTGACGAAGTGGGTCTTCACCCACGAAAGCATATGCTCTAACACTTCGGTTAGTCTATAAGGTGCCACAGGACTCCTCGCCACTTTTGCAAACTAATCTGAATCCAACATGCAGAAGTAAAAACCATATGAAAAAGCAAAATTGTAGTAAGGAAACAACATAGCTATATGCACCATCTGTTTAAAAATAATTAGAAAGAATCCAAAAGAAAATTTCAAACACTGTCATAGAATCAAGAGAGTTGTAACACTTAAAGCCACATTTTAAAGATTCTTTATAGACTCATTTGAAATTTCCCATCATATCTTGTTGGACCAAATTGGTTTTTTTTAACTAGTTGTGCAATAAGGAAATTTGTGTTTTACATACATCACCAAAGAACTGCAAGAGTGTTTTAAAAGCCACAATCCAAATCCCCTAATATAGCTCACTGAGGTACAGAGGGAATGAGAATGGTTTTATGGTTAAATCTCAGGACAGGTAATGAAGATTATGAGACCTACTCCTTTATTTTATTCATTCAGGATATACCCTTTCTATGGGTAACCAAATTTCATGCCCTGGGAGAAAGCGTATCCTCTAATTTTCCAGTTTTTGAATGACCAATATCCTGAAACACCTCCAGTTTTTTATTTAAAAAAAATAAAAAATAAAGCAGCTCTGCACTCCTAGAAATCAAGCTATGTATCTCAAACTGGCCTCTACTTGAAACAACCAAAATTAAAGAGAATTTCTGAAAACTGAGGCCTTAACTTCTCTGTGTTTCACTTTTCACACCTGTGAAGCAGGAACAATATTTACTGTCCCAGGATAATGTTAATTCATTAACGTTTAAGATAGTCACATGGAAGGTGCTGTAGAAGGGCTAGTATTATTTCACCAGAAAATGGATACATTGGCACTTTCTCCTAAAGAGTCAAGTCTAATTATCCACGGTAAAGATGTCTTTTAAATTACAATTGATATTAAAATCAATTAATTTTAATAAAATATTGTTTACTTCTAGAATAAATACATGGTCGGAAGCAAGTATAGGTTGAACCTCTGTAATCTATGACTCTCCAGTCCAGCATCATCCATGGTCCAGCAGAACCACGGAGGTTGCTGGACCAGAAAGCCCCAGAGGCTGGCAGCGGATGCTGGTCAGAAGTCCAGTGGCAGGGGGGCCAGCGACGGTCAGGAGTGCAGCTGGGCTGGAAGCATGGGGCCAGTGGCCAGAAACCCAGCCGAGCCAGAAGCACAGTCGAGCTGGCAGAAGGGGAGCTCTGCTGGGGCTGGAAGTGCAGTCAGGACAGAAGCCCTGACAGGGTTGTGAACAGGAACCAACGGCCTGAATTGGCTGGGAGGGGAGCCTGGGAACGGGAGCCAGAGGCCAGAAGAGAAGCATTTATCTTCACTGGTCTGCCAAACTCCCTGGCTCAGGATCGCATAGCTCCAAAGGGTGCTAGATCAGGGAGGGACAACCTGTACCTTAAAAAACTGATAATATCAGTACTACCTTAAAATTGGTTAAGACAATAAAATATTTACAGTTCAAAAGACTTTTACATGACAATCATCTCTTAAGTTTCACAAGGAATACAGTTCTCTTATTTTCTTCCTAATTAACAGTACTCAGACGCTACTCACAAAAGCAAACAATTAATGAAACATTAGTCCTTCACACAGATAATATGGTATTTTGAGTATGTTTTTCTTTCTCCCCCATCTCACGCCCCTCTCAACTCCCCCTGCAAGATAGCCAGAAGCTTTACGGTTAAGACTGTATGAATCTAGTATAATTAAACTGATGAAGGCACATTTTGATTTCAGTTCAGCTGCAGAAAAACTACATGAATTGAACAAACAAAAATCCTCAAAAGCAATACAATTACAAAGAATACTAAAAAGGTGAATAAATTAAATACAGTTAAATCTTTTCACCTAATTGCATTATTCATTAAAACAGCCT